ACTGCCTTTGCAGTTCCTTTTCACTTGCTCTTTTGGTTTGACATTGATGGAATTGGCTTTTTGTGTACAATTTATAGTGAACACAGAGAATGCATTTAATGGAAAATAAGAATCTGTTAGTTTTCCTGACAAAGATAATATTTTACCTTTTCTAAAATAATTTTTACAATAGTTGAACTAGAAACTTTAGGGAAAAAAGGGGAAATACTAAAAAACTCACTAAAAAACAACACTGTTGCTTTGCAGACTGGAAAACCTCTTTTTTGGCTTTAAAGATGTCTTAATTCAAAATTCTTATTTAACTTGTTGTTTACACTCTGAAACTGTTTCTTACATCCTATTCCTGGATAATTTATTTTGGTTCCTGCTACTGTGCCAAAAGAATGATATATAAATATTCTTAAATTCATCTTCAGCAGTTTTTGCTGCAAGTTGAACATACATAAATCTGTTGTGACATTCACTCTTATGCTTCATTATATGTTCTCAAGAGTTTTTAGAGACTTTTATGTCTTTGTTTTTCACTTACTGCTTTTGCATTTGTTGTAAAGATTAAATATATATGATATATATTTCAAGTTACTGCTCATAATTCTTTGGTCCTGTATATAGTTGTTAAAAAAATGCCAGACTGATATGAAAAGTTTTGGTGGAATGAAACAAAAATTGAAAGCAACACTCATGACAGAACTTTATAGTCTGTGTTCAACTATTTACTCTGTAGATATATGGGTTTATGAGGCAAACCTTGCAAAGTTATTTCACTGCTCTTATATGTGCAAACAATTTAATTGTACTTTGAATTTTGAAATATTTGATCTCAATAAAACATTACATGATTTATTTTTGCAAGAATATACTCAGCATACCTATAATTTTTCCATTCTAAACTATCAATCCCTCAACTCCACAAATGATTTTTGAATAAGTTACACATTTTAGAGCAGATGATTGCTTCAGGGTATTATAGAACTTTTAAAAAAAAATTGTACAACTGCCATCTAAACATTTATGTACACAGAAAATGGAAAAGCAAATACATGTACCTTTTCTGTTATGTACTTAAAGGGCACTTTTTGATGGAGGTGCACCTGACAGTGGAGTTATCTGTGTGCTGATACCAAAGTCTGATGGTGGTACAGCCAATAATTACACAGACTCCACACAGCTCTTGGAAATAAAGAACAGACTGCCATGTTCTGGTTAAAGGAGGCCAGATGACTAACATTACACATTTGTGTTGCATTAATGCAACAACCTCTCTCAGTTTCTTCATTCATTCATAAAGTGGAAGGGCATGTGTGAAATTTGGGAGCCTTAACTGAAACTTAATTGTTGTTTGAAGAGACCTAATCAATTTGCCTTTTAAAAAAAACATTTTCAGAGCACTTGTTTGGCCATTAATTTCCTGAAGTTAATTCATACCTGCAGGTAGGATTCCTGCCAACAGAATTTCATTCCCAAAACCAGCTGACATTTCAACCTCTTATCTCCCCAATGTTTGTCTATTGTCTAGAGGAAAAGCATAATCTTAATAATGATAATAAAATCCATTTAAGACATGTTAATTATATGGAATATTTATATATTTATACATATAAGAAATGTCTGTACATTACCAAAAACTCTAAAGATTAAATTTCTGAATTTTACATGACAGGTGGAAATCTAAGCGAAAATGACTACTGCATTTCTTGAATGACAACCTTGCAGGTGGTTGGTCTCAGTTTTACATTTACTGAATTCTTGGTTCTCTAAGACCCTGTATCAAACTTGAGAAGGCATAGGCTCTACTGGTTAGTATTTAGATACTTGCAGATTGTGAAAACAGATGTACTATGGGTTTCCAAGGGTGAATTTAAAGTTCAGAGAAATTAAAGAAAATAAAAACTGAGGCAAAATGCATTAGTTTAAGTAAAAAATACAACTCACTAGCACTACAGCTGCCACTATCCCAGATAACACAGGTAGCTTAGAACAATGCAAGAACATAGATTCATATGGAATTAGAAGCAGAAGTGTTCAAATCTTAAACCTGAAATTATTATCTGTGTAGGATCTACACAGCTTTAGGTCTTTATAAAAATTAAGAAGATTAAATATTTGTCCATGTATAACTGAGTGGCAGCAGTACTCACATTGTTAATTACAGCAATATTAATAAACCAGTAAGTTTGTCAAGGATGCCAGTAAGGCAGTATTGAGGTGGAAAAAAACCCAGTCAAGCTCATCCATGAAGGACTATGTGACCCTATGTCTTTATGGAAATCAAATATTTAAATGCTATTGACTTTTTACCTCAAAAACAGAGATTATGGGACAAAATTATAAAATTGTTGGATATTAGGCAATCACAAATTCAAAGCTGCTTGTATAAACATATTCCATTCTCTAGTGAATTAATCTAGGGACAGAATATACATAATCATGTCATTAACAGGTATTGTAAAGAACATTTCTAGGTGCATTGCTAATCATTTATCAGGTGTTTTCTAATGCTTATATTTACTGTGAGAGCTGAAAATATATTATTTTTCTAAAAGGTTGCCCTAAAAGGTACTGTTGCAGCAAACCTCCATCATCAATGAAGTTTGAAAAATGTGTTTGGCATGGCAGGCATGGTATTCTGTTTGACATAGTAACTGTAAAAAATCAAACCTGTTGAATACGATCATAATTATATGGTTTTTTGCTTTATTTCCAGATAGAGTACGGATTTAACTCAGGGCAGTGCAGACACTGAAGCTATTGTCAGTTGGAGCTTGGATCAATTTACTGCAGAAACTCTATAATCATGGTGGAGGCACTAGACCTGGAGGGACTAAAAAGATGTGCAGATGTGGCTTGGCAGTGTTTGGTTAATGGTTAGACTTGATGCTTCAAAATGGAAAGATAGAACTGTCCTACCATTACCCAGTGGGTTACTGCTGAATTAAAGCTTCAGAGAGAAAACATAGTGAATGGGACACAAAGGTCTTGTTTTGTTGTGTCCTTTTTTTGGGGTGTTTGGTTTTTTGTTTTTTCTTTTTGCTTGTTTGTTTGCTTGCATTTTGGTTGGGTTTTTTTTTGTTGTTGGTTGGTTGGTTTTTTTCCAGTGTGACTGCTTAAAGATTACAAAGTGTGTGAATTTAAGGGACAACAGCCCATTTGGAACGACTCCATGTATACACATTCATATGTAAGGGTAAGTGAGGGGGGTTTAGTCTGGATTAGAGTATTTCACTTGCAAAATGTGTCTTATTCGAAGTGAGAGTTCTCCAGAAGAGGAGGTTTTTCAAAAATTTCAGTCAGTTTTACCTCATCGGCAGAAAATGTATAATGAGCAGACACTTTCTTCAATAGGAAATATTACATTGTATCTTCTAAGAGAAGCTTGCAACCTACTAACAGCTGAAGTTGTCAAGGATATTAAGGTTTTCATCCAGTAGTGGAATTTGTACCAGCCACTATTTCACCAGGTATGATTTCAGTGACTTCTTGTCAGCTAAGGAATAGTTGATTATTAAATTTAGAGATGCAGTCTTAATTCAGAGGAGCACTTTACTCATTAGTATTTGGTAATTGCCAGGTGTTTCTGAGTTACTTGTTAGAGAATAATTTTCTTCAGGGAAAAAAGGATATTTGGATTTATTTTTACTTCTTTGCATGAGTCCTTAGATTTTAGAGTATTTTTCTGTCAGCACTGTATAATTTCGCTGGCTGCACTAATTGGCAACACTCTGTTCTCAAGTAATGCTGCTAAAGAGGATTAGTCCTCCATCATTTTACTGATGGATATTGCAAGGCCTTTAGCCCCACCTGATCAAGACCTTGCATGCTTTTCTTTTACTGCCTTTGTGGCAATGTCAGTTAGTTTAGTCTGCATTTCAAGTGATGGAGTCCAAAGGTAGAGGATAAGGTAAGCTCACCTTTACTCATTACACCTAGAATAGTTTTAGAGATTCTGCTTTTGTTCATAACACTGTTTACAATATGGAAAATTGCTACAGAAAAGTGGCTTTCCTCCAACAAGAACTTCCTCAAGATCTATTTAGTCACTTAAAAATCTCCATGTTGCCAGCAAGTTACTCTCTCATTTCATGCCTAATTGGGCAATGAATCTAATTCCTCTGTCTTTCAACCATTGCCTTGAGCATGTGAGTAGTATTTGTCATTAGAAATGCTTGCACATATTTTAGGAAGCTCCATAAAATAATATTATATCAGCATATAATTGATGTTTTACTGTACATAAGACTCACTAATACTTTGTGAAGACCTTCCAGCTGAGAGGGAAATGGAGTATTTCTACCAGCAGAAGCAAATTGGAAGAAGCCAACCTCATGTCTACCATGCTCTGCTATGATGATGTAGAAGTGAATTAGAGAGCATCCATTTGCCATTGCATATTTTTTCCTGAGCAAATAGCACAGACAGACATCAAATTCCTTCTCCTAGAATAAAGCATGGGTGTCTATGGGTGTCTGTCAAGACAGCAGTCACTAGAAAAGAGGGCTGTGTCTAAATGTTAAGCTGTTCCCAAAATATCTCTCTCTCTTTTTGAGTTTCATTATTAATGCAATTTCAATTTTGCCCTGCTTCTAACTTTATTAATTACTTTTCAAAAGATGAAAGATGTTATGATTTGGAGCATTTTGAAGGGGACATTACACAAACCTAATCAGAGATATTCTATGCCATGAAGTCTCCCATTGAAGTCGGTTTGGTAAAAGGAGCTAAGTATATTAAATTGTTAAATAATAATTAGGTGTGAGTATTAATGATAATGTATAGTTAACCTAGTATGTGCTATCTGATCCAATTAATTTCTATAAACACAATAACTTCCTTTTGAGCTAATTCAGTTGAGACAGTGAGGCCAGCTCTTGCCCACTCAGAAAGGTCTGTTGGACACAACAGACTTTAGTTCTTATTTTTGACCAGCTTTTCATGAGGAATTAACATGATCAGATTGCAGTGGTCATGAAACTTTGGACACACATGTAGCAAACAAATATGACTTCTGTTGCTTGCATTTATTTAGGCTAAACATACATGTGAGACATTCCTGGATCAATAAGTAGTGTCAAAGAGCCAGGACATTGCATCATTCTTAAAAAATAATTTAATCTTAAATCAATATTAGAATCAGAAGAACTTTTTAAAGAATATAGAACTATTGTTTTATGAAGAAAAGCCAAAGAGAGCAGCAGTCTTACAGCTATAAAAGTATTCTTAATTTTACACAAAAACATCTATAGAATACATCTATACAATGGAAAAAAGGTCAGCTCTTTCAATTTTCAATTAAAAGCAAGCAGTCTTGATAAACTAATGGCATGTTACTTAGCAAGCTTAATTGTACAATTCTAATTATTACTGTAATTTTATTGAATAAATATGAATGTTGTAGAAGTGTATATTCAGCATTAAGTAATATTGCCAAGATGATGTCCCTTTAATACCCTAAAGGTTATCTGGAATGGTTACATTGCCTGCAAGACCAAGCCCCAATATTTCTTGGTAAGTATTGTGGGTCAAGTACAATTTAAAATACTCATTTGCTTGCACTCAGATACCATAAGAGATGCACGTATAGGTTTGGATAGGAAAAACATACAAATAAAATACTGTGCAAAGGTTCAGCTTTTATGCTGTTATGTTCTTACACGTTAGTTATTGGCCAGTCATAACTGGGATTCCCCAAGGCTCAGTATTGGAGAAAATACTGCTTAATATCTTTATCAATTATTTCAACCAGGGCATCCTCAGTCAATTTATAGATGACACCAAATTAAGCAAGAGGTAAGAGAGTTGGAAGGCTTTACAATGGATCTGGATAAGCTGGATCAGTGGGCTGAGGCCAGTGGAATGAGGATCAACACCTGTACTTGGGTCACAACGACCGAAATCAATGCCACAGGTGTGGGCACAGCACATAGACTAGAAAGCACAGTAGAAAAGTTGCTGGTCAGCAACCAGCTGAACATGAGCCGAAGTCTGCCCAAATAGCTGAGAAGGCCAATGGTATCTTGGCCTTCATCTGAAATAGTGTGGCCTACAGTACCAGGGAAGTGACTGTATGGATATTCTCACTTAAGTGTAAGCGACAGGTTTTATTCTCAATTAGCTCATTCACTTGCAATGTTTATGCTCTTCATAAAATTGTTGGATATAGGTAGGTAATTTGTTGGTATAGAGTAGGTATTTCCCAGAAGGGGAGCATTTTCACAAGAAGTATTTCAATCAGATTCACCACATAAGCACTTTATGTGATTATACAAAAAGTTAATTATTTACAATAGATTTTGATAAAATAGGAGAGAATATTCTGAATGTCAGTTGCCATGTACACTAACACATTATTTGTATGGCTTGGAATATGTGTGCCTCATTTGTCAAAATACCAAACCTACTGTCATGGAAGATCTCTGTAGACATGTTTTAAACCTGAAGTCCACTACTACTCTTCAAAGGTGAAATACAAAGCAACGATAAACGATTTTCACACTTCATCACTTCCTTTACAATCTTAAATTACTACACTGGCAGCAGAAGAAAATGTCTACTACATTTTTTAAATTATGTTTCTAGCATTTTCTAAGTTACAGTGCCTCACAGGCCTTTTGTGTTGCAGTGTTGTAACAAGATCTTTGGAAATTTGTAAGATGCAATTGTCCACATTTTAATTTTAAATGGTCTGATGCTTTATATGAAAAGAAAAGAGAGCAATTAAGAGGAGAAAAACCTGCATTTCAGACAAGACCCTAAATCAGCATTAGTATATATAGTTACCCATGATGCTGCTGGAGCCTTTAGGAGAAAAAAGCATGCCTTCATCCTATTGAAGTTGTCTAAGTTATGTCCATAATAGCATCTGTGTGAAGATGTGCTGGGAACACAAATAACTTTACTCAGATTGCACCCTAAGCAAGATCCTGCCAGAGCCCTTCATTGGGCAGAAAAAGTAGATAAACTGGACTTCTAAAGAAAGAAGCTTACAGAAAAAATATGTATTATTTTTGTAGAGCTAAAGAGATACTAACCAGACCTTCTGTATAAAAAATGTTGATAGTTTTAACCAGTGTGTAAGAAAAATATTTATTATTCAGAAAAATATATAATATTCAGAAAAATTTGAATATCAAACCAGCATTACTTTGAATATGAAATTTTACTATACTTATTTTAAAAATTAAATTATTTAATTTTTTCTCAATTCACTTTTAAGATAATTCTGTGAGCACTGCCCGCAAATAATTCCTTTAAATAAAAAGATGCTTCTCAAAACTTCTAAAATTTCTCTGTGTTTTTAAAGCCTGGATGTTAAGTAAGGATTTGTGAAGGCAATAATGCTGATGCATTTTTGATTTGGAATAATGGCCAAGTCTACTCATCCTGGAGCAACTCAAAAAAGATGGTAGCTATATGGTCTATACCTTTTCCTTTTCATGTTTTTTGGGTGATTTAGTAAACAAGCACCAAAGGAGGGAACAGGTTCTTGAGTGACATGAACTGGGGACAGGCTGACTCCAGCTCCAAAGTGGTGGATGGAAATCAGAGACATTTGCTTAGCCTGGGTCCAGAATTGCATTATTATTAGACTGAGTCTTATATTTTTGAAACAATTCTTTGTCATTCAGCCTCTGCAGTACTGAGATACAACCACCTTGTTTTGTGACACTGACATTTTCCTGTACTGTTCCTCCCCTTATGCATGTGTGAACAATTGCTTCCTGGATTGGGTGACCAGACAATAGCAAGGGAACACTCCTTAGTTTAGAACTCTTACTCAATATATATATTTCTGAGCTTTCTAGTACTGTGAGTTATGGCATTAAATTAGTCTTGTTGAATCCAGAAGAAAGGTGCTACTCGAAATCTATCAAGGTAATTGTTCTTCTTTATCCTCTGAGACAGGACTCTGTGTCAAATAAACATTTTTTAAGTGTTCCACCATAATGTCCTCCTCATCATCAAGATCTGCATCTTCTTTCATCTCCCACCTGAAAGAAAAAACATTTTATTAATTCTTAATATGTTTTAAACTAGTCTTTAGAACAAGTAAAAAAATACAGAACTTGTTTTTATTAATTCATTGCCTTCCTGAGCTGTGGTTTACACCAGTTGAGATTACTGAATCACACAAAATACAACCCCCCAAAACCTTGCTACACAGAACTTGGCATGGACATGAGGCAGTTGATGACACAAATTGTCAAAGCTATTACAAAATCTTACTTGTATTTACTGCAACAGTACTTTTTTTCCATTTAATTTTTTAAATGGAAATTTTCCATTTCCATTTTTTATTTTTTCTATTTTCCATTTTAAACACATTAGTAGAGGTGGAAACCTTGTAAAACTTTCAGGGAAAAAGTGGAAGAGCTAACACACATTTTGGAAGTTAAGCAGATGCTCTCAATACTCTGAGTTTGCAGTGAAATATCACAACATGAAGTCCAACCCAAATATTTAATGTGAGTTGTTATAATTCTCTGGCACTGACAGTACTATTTTACAAGATACTACAAAATTGACTGGCTCTTTTGCTTCTTTAACCATCAAGTATAACGATCAAACAAAAAATAAATTACATCAGATTCTTCCCCACGTGAATACTCATTTCTAGTTTAGGATTAATAGTTAATGCCACTAAAACTGCAAAAGTGAAGGACTGTGAAGATTATATTTTTTTATTAGTAGTAGTCAAATATAAAACCTTAAAAGTCATACAGTATTCTGTTAAAGAAAATCAGGATAATAAATGCAGCAAGAGTGCTGATATGTAGTCAGGTAAACTTTGTAACACTCCAATTATATCTACACAATGGTCTCTTCTTTTACAAGTTCTGTGGATATTTAAGAATTTGATATCCCTTTAATATTAATCTCATTCTGTTCTAAGTAGATAATAAAGTGTAGGCTCCCAGTTCAGACCACCTGAAGACAAAAGGTAAACCACCAATATTAATCTAGTAATCACATTTTCAAGTATTAAAACTAATAGGTAATAAATGAGACACAGAATGATGTAAAAAAGTAGGAGATTTAAAAAATCAGCTGAACAAGGACTGCTTTTAGGAAACTGTCAGGAGCAATACTTTAGTCCCATCCCCACTCTTCTTAGGTCCTCATTCATACTGTAAAAATCAGAAGCCATATACAAGTTTAGATTGGTGAATAAATCAAATATAATACAAAATAGTGGAACGACTATATTTCATTCCTTATATTTGGAAGAAGAGAACAGCCATTATTGGCAATAGAGCATAGTGTACACTTTGTGTCTATTTTAAAGCTTACTAAAACTAGAAGGACCAAGTGCTTTGTAGTAAAATCTCATTGTTAAAAACCAATTAGGAAAAAATATGTTCAATGAACGTATATAAATTAGCACATATACTTCACACCTTTACCTTAAAAACTGAATCTAACAACCCATATTACTGCCTGAAGGAGTATCAGAACATGCAAAGCATACTTTGAATAAAATCATAAGCATTGAATACCTATGATCAAGGTTTTGCAATAATTAGCTTCCTATTACTCTGCTCATATGTGACTGCTATCATACTTAACCTTATGTGTATATTATTATTAGGTATAATTAATTGCTTTGTCTGCTTCATTCTCTGATTTATGATATAAAATTTGCTGTATGAACCTTCAGTGCAGTTACTTTTGCAAGCATCCCCAGTGAATGGTGTTTAACCAGCGTGACTGGTTTCCCCTTTTCCTTTTGGTAATGTATATCTTCTCTTCAAACCTTGGAAGAAGTTGTGCATGCCTTAATTTGAATTCATGGTCCTCAGCATTATTCAGAAACACTACTACATGAGCTGAATGAATTAATTTTAATTAATTTGATTTGTTGCATATTTTTAACTAGAGGAGCTGTTTGCTTAGAAGGACTGTTATGACTTCATGGGGTCCCCTGGTTAACTCTGGACCCCAGCTTCACTGACAAAAACAAAGGTAAAAGACAGGAGGTGCTCTTCTTGGGACGAACATCTGACAGCTTTATTGTGGAACACCTTCAGGGAGTAAAGAGGAATCCTAGAGGAAGAAAGAGGTCGATAGTCTTGTGGATGAGGATTTTAAACCCAGGGGGCAGGGGGCAGAGGAGAGGGGCCATAGCCAATGGTACAACTCATGGGAGGGGCAAGTGGAGGAAGTAACCCCGGGTAAGATCACCACCACATGGAGGAGGAAAGGTATGCAGAAGAAAACATATGATAAAAACAAATCACTTAATGCAACATAAAAACTACTCAGTGCAAAATTCCAATCACCCAGTGCAAAATAATGACTAAATAAACTACTTAGTGCAATACAACAGACTGTCATAGTTCTAGAGATAGGGGGTAGAGTGCAGCATTAGGGGTGACCCAAAATTATCTACTCCACATCTTCTCTACATCAATCCATGCAAGGTAGTTTACTATCTCTTGAATTTCCAGAGATGGACACAGAACCTCTGTGTTTTACCCCAGTTCATGGAAAGGGGAGGGGTGATGGGAACAGGGGTGATGTGGAGCTCTCTGTTTTGTCCTTTCCAGACTCTTGAGAACAATGGGGCACTCTGACAGGCTGCTACCCACAGCTTTCTAGGAACTGATGAATAAAAAGGACAGTGACCCTTGCCACGGTTGCTACAGCAACCACAGCTTTTGGAGCCCAGGGAGATGTTTCTCTGGACTTTCTGCTGCTGCTGCGCAGGACAGCTGCATGTCGCTGAGGGTTGGAGCCTAACCTTGTTTATCAGTCCCAAAACGAGAAAGGATCTGTGCTGTTCTTCAGATCTGGGAGAGGAACCAAGTTGATGTAGTTTGCGATACCATACAGTTTATGGAATGGTAACATCAAAGGCAGTGAAGATAGTTTGGTAAATGTATTCATTGTTGTTTGCCTGTCCTGATCTAGATTGCTGTGTCTGGGGGTTTATTAATAATCACACACAGCCTGTGGGAGGAAAAGGAGAAAGCCTCTCTGCCTTTCACCTCCTTCTCCCCTTCAGGTCCAACACATCACTTCTCGAGAAAGCTGAATTCCCTCTGTATGCTATGGACATTGTGGGAGTTCAACTGATTGGGATGGATAGGGAACTAGTCTTCATAAATAATGGAAGCAAAAATTTAAGGCCTTGGGATGCAGGATGTTAAGAAATGAAACATCTAGTTGGGTTATGATGAGAAGCATGGAATCATGGGAGTTATTATGTTAACACTGTTATTCCGTATCGGGCAATATTTCTAGCTCTTGTTTCGGATTGGTTAGATACGTTTACTATACATGGTTATGTTTTTGGTTCCTGCTGATGATTAGTTCTCTGCCCTCAGATATATTATTGAGTTCGCCCCATTGCCTTGTCTTTGAGGATCATCCCATGCAGTGTGCGGCTTTTACTTCCTGTGTTATTTCTGCTTGTAATTAAAGTTCTTTATTTTTTGGATATCCTTGTCATTCTCATCCCTATTTCCTTTGCCACACAACTCCCAACTGACCCTGAGGCTGTGCGCACCAGCACAACAGGACATCATATTCTCCTTGCTGGTTCTGTTCTGTCTCCTCTGTACAGTCTACAACACATTTGGAGTCAGAATGGAGATTTCTAGGGAAGTGTCTTGGAGTGATTTATGATGATAGTCTATTCCATTGTCCTCTGCTTTATGCCCCAAAACGATTCCTGTGTCTTTAAAGCTTAGGATTGGTAGTGTGTGGGACTGGGGAGGGGGGAGCTTTGGAATTTTGGTGGGCATTTTTGAAACCTCACTGCCTAGATGTTCCATGACACTTTGCAGTTTGGGTTTGTTGGCCCAGGCAAAAATGCTTTTCCCTCTTCTGGCTTGGAGAAGCTGCAGCAGCAATCTTTCATCTGCCTTGAGGTGAACTGAACAGCTGCTGGTCCAAGACTGCAGGAGTGGGACTGGCTGGAGTAGGGCTGCCCCATTCCAGCCCCAAGCCTTGGGGAGCTGAGCCAGGGAGAAAAAGCACACCAAGAGGCTCCAGCCCAGCTGTTTGTCTGGTGTGGAGAAGGGATCTATGCCAGAGAGTCACCAGGTTTTTGCCCACTTCCGGAACATCTTCATGGTATATCTATCACCCTCAGCAGGAAAGCCTGTGCTGTCTTGTACCACCTGCCAGGGAGTTTAGTCCGGAAGTTTCGCTCTGAACAAATACAAAACTGATAAGGTAGAAGAATATTTGAAATAAAATTGCTGTGTCAGTTCCAGAGAGGGGCAACTTACTGCTCTGTGCTGAGCCCTAGTTAATGCTTACCTGCATGTTTCTTGTTACTATACAGCAGCCGCTATAACCAGAAGAAAAGGAGAGCAAATTGGCAGACACCACAGTCACTCAGGCTGCAGTTAAACAAGATGGGCAGTCTAAGCCAATAGGAGTCACCCCTATCCAAAGGAGGGGCCAAATAAGACCAAATCCAGTGACCCAGTAAGATGACCATGGGGAGTTCTAGGGAGAATGTTCAAGAGGAACGTCCCTTCAACATGTCATGCCAACAATGCTACCTGGAGTAAGCAGATCACTCTGATCACACACCAAGTTCAGATGGGGAATCCTAATCATTCTGGGACCTTGGAAAGTATCAGAAATTGGCCAGAAGGTGAGCATTTTGGACTATCTTCTGAAGAGGAAGAGGATTAGGTACCACATGCTGAGGAGGCCTCACCATATAAAACCAGACACCAGAAAGTGAGAGGCGACACGCACTCTTCACTGAGAGCTTCTGCTATATTGTAGGGACAAGTCAAAAATGGAAAGCTGCCATATTAGGGCCTAAGCAGCAAGTTGCAGAAGCTACCAAAGGACAAGGTGGATCAAGCCAGGATGCAGAACTGAAAACCCATCTGGCTTTGGATATTGCTGATTGAGAGAAGTGGCCAACACTATACCTCTATACTGAACTGTAGATGGTAGCAAACACTCTGTAGGGATGGCTGGAATGGTGGGAAAAGGCCAACTGGCATTGAAGAAGGAAATCTGA